TGGAAAGCAATTTATAGACAAGAATTTTGAAATTTTTTTGGAACAACTCGGAATCAAGCACAAAGTCACCTCGGTGGAACATCCACAGACAAACGGCCAAGTTGAAGCAGCCAATAAAGTAATCTTGCGAGAGCTTAAGAAAAGGTTAGGATCTTCCAAAGGGGCGTGGGTTGAAGAATTACCAAGTGTCCTGTGGGCATATCATTGCACACCACAGACTACTACTCAGGAAACCCCTTACAAGTTAACCTACGGCTCTGATGCCATGATACCAGTTGAAGTGGGCGAACCAAGTCACAGAAGATTAATGTTTGATGAATCTCAAAATGAGGCACAATTGAACATAGACCTCGACCTAATTGAGGAGACAAGGGAATATGCTAGAGTGCAAGAGGAAGCATGTAAGCTCCGAGCTTCGAGACGATATAATTCCAATCTCAAACCGAGATGTTTCCACGAGGGAGATCTCATCTGGAGAGCTACAGGTGATGCTAGGAAAGATACATCAGCGGGAAAATTTGCAGCTAATTAGGAAGGTCCCTTTTGCATCTTAGAATGCTTACAAAATGGAGCGTATAGACTGACAGAGCTCAACGGCAAAGTTCTTCCCAGAACTAGGAATGCCACTCATTTGAAGTTTTATTTCAGTTAAATACATGTAAATCCAGGTATTGTACTCTTTTTCCTACTTCAGTCTTTTTCCCAAATAAAAAAAAAAAGGGTTTTGGCTGAAGAGGTTTTAACGAGGCATGCTTGAGGCAAATCGAAGAGATGTAATTGGTCTATAATTCTATATCATACATACTCTCTTCTCATATTCTCTTCTCTTATTTTTAGTTTACTTTCCTATGCTTTAATTAATTATCACAAAATCTACGTCACTAGACACTCGGCCAAGTTGAGCCGACATCATCATTTGCGTAAGGTACTAGGCCAAGTTTGAGTTGCTACCATCTCGTAATAATACATCGGCCAAGAGTGAGTCGAACTTATCATTTATAATTAAGCCAAGTTTGAGCAATAATTTAGCCAAGTTTAATTTAGCCAAGTTTGAGCAATAATTTAGCCAAGTTTGAGCGATAATTTAGCCAAGTTTGAGCAATAATTTAGCCAAGTTTGAGCGATAATTTAGCCAAGTTTGAGCAATAATTTAGCCAAGTTTGAGCAATAATTTAGCTAAGTTTGAGCAATAATCTAGCCAAGTTTGAGCAATAATTTAGCCAAGTTTGAGCAAAATTTATTTTTTCATTCATAATACGACCAAGCTTGAGTCGATTTTATTATTTGCAACGTAACACGGCCAAGTTTGAGCCGATTTCATCCTATCAAAATAGAACCAGTTTCATTCAAATGCCTATGTGCTAACTTTAAGCATAACACCATAATTAATTAAAACCTTCATGAAAACATTCAGAACATTATAAAAATTGTCAAACTTTTAGCCTATGAAGGCAACAACAAATATGAATCCTAAGTACAAACCATACTACTATTCTGTAAAAAAATACAATTATACATTGTTCTCTTCACTGCTCATATCATCAGAGATGTCATCTTCGTTAATCAATTTCCCCTTAAAGACATCTTTGTTGATGTGAACTTCTGTCAAATCAATGTTTGGGGCAATGCATTTCACTTGTCGTAAGGCTTTAGAAAACCCCCTCTTGTGCTCTACGACTACTTGATACTCAATAGCCTCCATCTCTTTCTTCAACTTCTTGTTCTCATTTTCTATTTCTCCAATCTTCCTCACATTAGCAGCGATAACTTCTTGACAGGCTTTATTTTTCTTGTAAAGCTCCACCATCTTGCCTTTCAAGCTTTGCATATTCCCCTCATAGTCCTTTGTTTTCTTTTCCAGCATCTTCACAGTCTCTGCTTGAACTTCTTTTTCTTTTTCTAACAAACTCACCTTCTTCAAAAGGTCCTCCACCTTAGCCACATATGACTTGTTTGATCTCACAAAAATCTCAAATGCCTTTGAACTTTCTTCCAATTTTTTCTTTAAATCACCAACCTCAGCATTTAATGACCCAATTTGGGCATTCTTAGTCCTCAGTTTGGACATCAGTGCAACATTTTTATCCCACTTTTTCTTCCAATGATCTACCACAGTGATAGATCTTTGTAGGAATACTTGCACGAAATCCAAACCTTGAACAGGCCCAACCTTTTCAATTAAAGCCTTATCAGCGATATAGGCTGGATCCTCCTTATAAAATGCTCCTGCATTCAACTTGGCATTCCAAAAGGAAATCACGTCGGGTGACATACTTACGTGATCCAACCTAGCCAGAGGATGCTCCGTATCATATCTTTGATGTAATGATCTCGGACGGTTGTTTGGCCCAGATTGCGACGACCTCCCTTGTGAAGTCGGCGAGTTAAAGCCGAGTTGAGCAATTGATGCTTCGAAATTCGACACCAAATGTTCTGACGATTCAGGAACTTGTGTATTTGCCGGCTTCACAAAGACAAATTTGAAATCAGAGTAGTCAACATAATTACATAATATTGCTTAGTAATGATAAGAAATATACCTTTTCTTTTTTCAAATCACTAGCAGGATTTTTCTCCACTTGCTTCTGGCTAGTATCTTCTCTTTCCAGATCAATAACAGGATTTTTCTCCACTTGTTTTCGGTTAGTATCACCCTCCGATTTTGTAGTTTCTTTCACAACTTCCTTCCTCGGCATACTCGAATTACCAGCATGGTCGGCAGTCTTATGTTCCTTATTGTGAAGGTTTTCACCCTCTATCTTTTGCTTCTTCACTTTTTGCGTAGGAACAGCTGCATCCGGGATTTCTTCTATGTTAAATTTCCCCTTCAACTCACGCCATCTACTTCTTCCCATGATACCTACATCACATCAACCATTACAATATTATATAACAATCAATTTTAGACATATTTAATCATTATCAATTTTACAATTATCACTTACGTTCTAGATCCTCTTGAGGATTCTTTGATCCAGCAAGCCCTAGAACCGACTTGCTTTCTAAAGGCCGAGGTAGCTTTTGTAATTTTTCTATATCTTCCAACTCGGCTGGAGTTAGTTCCAACCCTTCCGAGCCGATAAATTTAACAGGCTGAGATTGCTAGTAAAAGGGGAATCTCGGCTCTCCATCCAAGAAAAATACACAGTCTAAACTTGGATCATTACACACAGACCGAATTTTGACAAATTCTTCTTTAAAATTTTTATATGATTGTGCAAATATCTGGAAAAGTCCTCCCTCTTTCGAACTTCCACTTAACAAAACCCAACCAAAAGGAGTCTCCCCTAATTTTACTTGATAAAAGTGCATAAATCTTCCCAAACTCACTTCCATTCCTAATACTGAACATAGAATTTGAAATGCACGCACAAAACCCCAACTATTTGGGTGCATTTGACTTGGTGCTATGTTAACTTTTTTCAAGAACTCACATTCAAACGGTGTAAAGGGAATTAGAATCCCTAAATCCTTAAAGACACACTTATACATATATATACCAGGTGACACTTTTGACTCGTCAAAATACAAACGCTCCTCAGAGGAGCAAGGCTCTATTACGATTCGCTCTAGCATGGGAGGCAAGCAAAACTTTAGATGATGCTCCAGAACACTCACTCCCATTAAATCCCCAAATCTGCTACTATATTTCCCAACATCACCCCTCACCCATTCATACCCAGATACCACGATTTTGGGATGTGAATCTTTACGATTATTTCCTCCTCTCTTTCGAACCTTTGTCTCCTCCACCTCTGTCATCTTATTTTTCCCTCTGCCACCTTTCATCTTACCCTTGTTCATCAATCTAAACTTATAAGCTACGCATAGAAGGTAGAAGGAATTTAAAATGCACAACAGCGAGGCTAAATGAATACCTGGAAATACAAACACCCCACCAACGCTGACGCTCCTTTCACACTTCCACGCTTCACCTTTTCATGACTCTTTGAACGAATACAAATGTCTGAACATATGCAGAACCACCATTTAAATGCCCGCCTTTGCATCTCTCTAAAACTCAAACGTTCTCTTTATTTTTCACACATCCCAACGCGCCTGTCGTTTCGTATTTGATGCCCCTTAATGAAACATCATTACTACTACCATGTGTACGCTGAAGAGACATGACCCCTTGTATGACCAGCTGTCATTACTCAAACACTGTGACTCCTCATGTCACCTCTCATGCGTCTTTATTTCTCGAGATATGACACCTCATATTTTGATCTCGGACAATTCCATTCGTTCTTAACCTCTTTTGCTCTTGCATAGCTCAGAGCTTGGGGGGCTTATGTACCACCCCCGATGTAGGACCGAGATCACACCGAGATCATAGACTACACATAAGCTGACTTAAACTAGGAGGTCAATAAGGCTGATACCTCGATACATAAACAACATCAAATATACAACACGTGACAATAATGACTAACCTAACTATAGTTAACTCATCTCGGGCAACCGCTACAGCAGTTATATTGGAAAACTGCACAACCCAGGTAAGGGATAAGTATGAGAATGGACAAACGTGGAAAACTAACTTGATCGTCGGAGTCCTTTTTGTAGGTACATCCAAGACGCTCGAGCAAGGAGACCAGAAAGAGGTGACTCACCCCAACAACCGACCTCATACGATCTCGGCTGGACCAGAACAAGGAAGACGACTTATCCGAGTTAAGGATCCAACCTGATTCGTGTAAGTACATTTTGTAAAATTTTATAGATTATAAATAAGTTTCTAATTTCAAGGGTTAAATTATACAAAATATAAAAAGATGAAATATTTAACTATATAAATTTTATTATTAGTTTAGTGATCTAACTAAGAAAATCATAAAAAGCTTATGAATCAAATGATGTATTAAATAAAAAATATATATATTATGATATATTTATGGGAAAATAACCCATGATGATTATTCCTCTTTAGTCTTTGGTTGTTTGTATCATCTTGGTATCAAATCATTGATAGTAACAAGAACATGTCCTCTATGCAGTTTTTGGTTATGAACCACATTCAGTATGCCCAATTGGCCTTGTTGCACTTGCTGATGGCACTGGTTTCATGCCTCTTGCAAAAACAAAATTTCTTGCTAGCACCGCGGTAAGGGTTTTACTTAATACTATAACGTGTTAAGTTTTTTTTGTCAAGAATTTCTATATTAAAATTATTATATTTTTAACAGAAAAACTCTAAAATATTTTTCTAAAAATTTGTATCTGAACATATTACATATGTAGTGAATGAAATCTGTTCCAATATGCCTAAAAAATCCCACATTACTTAGGAGTTAGGGTTAAGGGTGGTTTATAAATATCCTCTTCCTTAATCCATTGGATAATATTTCGAATGCAATGACCCTAATGATGATAATTGACTTACGGTCCGAACATTGGTACTAGAAAGAAGACCTGGGTCACTCTTGTCCCTTAAGATCGACTGGGGGGCTTGTCTAATATAAACACCCTCCTTCCTTAACCTATAACGAGATCGGAACAAAACCTAATAAGGATTGAATTGTAATTTCATCTGATGACATAACATCACATTTCATGTATATAGGCATCTTACATACCGTTTTTGAGACATATATGGACATGGTTGGGTCATACTTCAGTGGCAAAGAAAAACTTCATTTCCTCATTGGCTGCTGGCTATAGTTGCGTTGTGGTACCTGGTGGAATACGAGAAACACTTCTTATGGAGCCTGTATACAATGTATTTATTTATTTATTTCTCATTTTTTATCTATTGAAATTATAATTTTAACACCAGATTTGAATATAAAATTATGTGTATATTATTGTAATTTCTGACCACTAGATCTTAGTAGTTCATTCTTTTTCCATTTTACTCAATGTTGATGTTTTGTAGGAAAATAATTATATAGTATTTATTGTCTCTCGTTAGTTTCTACAATTAAAAAATAATACTCTCGGAAAGTTTACTTTATTAATTACATAAGTTCAAAATAAAATAAAAAAGTGATTTAAGTGATAATACTAAAATATATTTAAGAGGCAAATTAATAGAAAGTGATTAAATTTAGAAATTTAAATAAAATTATTGAAAATATTTGTAGATTTATTTGGAATTCTCTTAATTTAGGAAATGAATGTGACAATGAATTATTAGGTTCAGCGTAAGAAGGATTCAAACCATATATGTAAAATTATATGTTCCAATCTCCGTAAAATATTTTTTATTTTTATATTTTTTTTTGTTAATCATGATATTAGTATAAAATATTTATCATTAAAAGTTGTAACTAATTTCTATTGAGGACCGTGAACACACAAGTGATTAATTTCAATTAGAAACCATAAATGTACGCAAAGTAGATATTTTTAGGGATGACAAATAAACCCGTACCCGTGGGTAATACCCGAACCCGTCCCGATTTTGATGGAAAATACCTAGTTTGACCGGGTACGGGTAAAACCCGATAAATTAAACCGGGTATGGGTATATACATACCTGTCCCGTACCCGTACCCGATTTAATTATATTAAAAAAAATTAATATTTTATTATGTGTAATTATTTATTATAATGTGAAATATTTATAGTTGTATAATTATTAAGAAATTTCTTGATTAAAATATGAGATAAAGAAGTAATCTAATTATAATTCTAATATAATAGAAAAATAATTTAAAAATATTATATATTTTTTGCAAAAATAAAATAAAATAATTTTTATGGGTACGGGTACGGGTATACCCGATACCCGACGAGGACGGGGATGGGGATCAAAATCACATACCCGGCGGGTACGGATACGGATACGGGGATGGGTTTGTGTCGTAGGAACGAGGACGGGTATCATAAAATCCGTACCCGACCCGCCCCGTTGCCATCCCTAGATATTCCTCTCTCAACACCATTTATTTTATATCTGCTGTTAGAATTTAAAGTCTAAACATCTTAGTTAAAGATGCAAGTTACTATTATTTATACCAACTGTACTATCCGTATCGCTATGCCGAGCTCGAGCTCGGCATCACAATGCAGAGTGACATCGAACATGCGCCGCGCGACATCGGCCAAGACAAGGCCCACTATCTAAAAAGATTATAACCGATCTCAGGCCCAAGGCCCAGGAAAACCCTAATTCACACTAAGGTACGTACATTACTTATACGAGACCCATACATCCACAAACACTAACTTTAGCATCGGAGTCTCTTTTGTAGTGATAGACCATGGGCCAAGGGCCCAGTGACCAGAGCTATGGCTAGGAGGATACAGGAAGAGCTGGATCTAGAGAAGACTAATGGGCTTGTCAGGCCCAAGATAATCTTCACTTGGAATGCTCTATCATGAAGAGAAAGCCTTAGTTCTATTTGTTTATATTGTACAGTTTATACATAGTCTTGTGTATAAGTTATTTTTGCCTTTGTATTTGTGAGGCACTTTACTAGCTTTTTCTAGTGTTTGTATATTGATTTTAAGGTAGGTTACTTGGAGAGTTTAACTCCATTTAACCTCCCTAGTTGACACACTCATTCTTTATTTTTTCAGTAGGATAAAGGGGGTGACATTTAGCAAAGCTAGGGAGTGTGCTTAGAAATTGGGCCAGAGTTGGGCCTAGGCAAAATTTTACATATTGGACTCATTTTGCTCCTAATTTTTCATAGATTTGATTTAGCTAGGTTTCATCATCATATGATGAACCTAACTAAACCAAATCAAAGAATTTCAAATTAAATCAAGGAGCAATTTGAACCATGGGCCGCCTAGCTTCCTTCCTTCTCCTTGGCCGAATTTTTCAAGCATTCTTTCATTCTTATATCAATAATAATAATAATAATAATAATAATAAACAACTTTAATATTCAATGCACTTGTTGAATAAAATATATGTGATCATCATCGTTAATTTTTATTAATTTGGGGTGAGATAAATATTTTAAAAGCTATAATAGTTTGCTTGATTAATTAGAGGTAATCGTCTTTATGATGGACGTTGTAAGGTGCTAATACTTTCCTTACACGTAATTGACTCCCGAACTCAAAATCGGATTTCGTAGACTATTTTTCTTTAATGGTTTTTTCCAATGTTTTTCCATAGAAATAAACATTGGTGGCGACTCCATATTTATTAAAAAAATTATTTTGCCATCCCGTAGCGATCGAGGTTGCTACATACATGGAAACATGAAGCTGAATCCACCATTAAAGGATACAGATTGAAGAAATACATTCAAGGAGATGCATCTTTCCCTCCCAAATACGATTCTACGGAGGATAAGGTCAAAGATAAAGTGACTAAAGCTTTTAAAGATTATGAGCAACAAGATGCTCTTCCCAAATCTTGGCTTCTTGAATCCATGGAAGCTGAATTCAAAATTCGAATGGTAGGGTGTGAGTGGAGCTATCAGATTTGGGAAACCCTTGACACCTATTTTACTTCTCAAACGCATGCTTGGATCAAGCAACTCAAGATTCAATTGCGATCCATCAAGAAAACCTCCTCGATTACTCCGTATCTTTTAGAAATTAAGAAAGTTGTAGATACCCTTGTGGCAATTAGTGCTCCTTTAAACGTTGAAGAACATTTTGATGCTATGTCGATGGGCTTCCTGATGAATATGATGACTTTGTCACTTCCATTCTATCTCGAAAAAATCCTTACACCACCAAAGAAATAGAGGCACTGCTAATGGCTCAAGAAGACAAATTAGAATCGCGAAAGCAAGCTAATGGTATCAACATGCAAGCCAATCTTGCACATGGAAATCACTCAAATAACCATGGTCATGGTAAACTATCAAGGTCGTAGTGGAGGATTTCAAGGTTGTGGTCGTGCTCGAGGTGGTAGATTTCATAATACTGGTGGAAGGAACAACAAAATTCAATGCCAACTGGGTGGAAAAATGGGCCACTCTGCTTATAATTGTTGGCACAGGTATGATAAAAAATTACCTGATCCAAATCAAAACTCACATACATTTGTTTATCAAAATATAGGTCAAAATCTGGTTGCTATGCAAGCTATGAATACTTCGACCCAAAATTTGCCCTATGATGATAGTTGGTATCTTGACTCGAGAGCCACTAATCATCTAACTTCTGATGTTAATAACCTTCAACAAAGAATTGAGTATTCTGGCCCAGAGAAGATACATATGGGTAATGGCTCAGGTATAGGAATTTCTAATATTGGTACCTCTTATATTCAATCTAAATTACTGACCAAAATTTTGTACTGAAAAATCTCTTGCATGCACCATTAATTACAAAGAATTTGTTAAGTATTTCTCAGTTTGCTCGGGAAAACAAGGTTTTCTTTGAGTTTCACCCAGACACTTGTCTTGTTAAATCTTAGGGAACCAAGACTACTCTTCTTCAAAGGAGACTTAGGAATGGTCTATATGAATTTCAACATGTTAAACTTGTCAATCTCTCAACAAGCTTCTCTACAAAGTCACATGGTTTAGCTTCTAGTAATAGGCCCGTAAACAATTATGAAAGTCTTCCTGTCCAATCTTGTGCTTTTAATATTGAAAATAGAAGTATTATGTTTGATGTTTCGAATGGTAGACTTGCCCATGCTTCCAATAAGATTTGTGAATATGTCATGAGACAATGTAATGTCCCTGAAAAAATCTCAATAAAACAAATATTACATGTATTGCATGTAAGGATGGTAATGGGGCCCTTTGGGGCGGGTAATAGTAAACCCGTCCCCATCCCGCTAGATGAAAATTGGCTCCCATATCCACCCCACATCCGTGTGGGTATCCATTAAGCGGGTATCCATGAATTTCTTGAATACCCACAGATATCCATGGATATCCATGGATATTTATAAATTTTTTAAGGAATTAAAAAATTTATATTACAAATAATTTTAAGTTTATATTTAATGTCATTGAAATATTAAAAATAAAAATTAAATGTTAATTTGAACTTGTATTTAATATTAATTTTGTTGAAATAATAATAAAAATGCAAGATAATCAATAAATTAAAATACATCAATCTCACAAGTAAGTTAAAGTCTCATCACAAAGCTATAATAATTCAATCTCATAATTCCAAATAAAAGTAAACAACTTAAAATACATAAATTTTATTGGTCCAATCAAAGCTAGAAAATTAATCAAATTACATCTAACATAATTCTATAACATGCTTAACACATGTTGGTAACTTCATCAACTTCACTTTTGTAAGAAAAAAAGATGAGAGAGTGTAGTTTTAGGGTTATGTGATACAAGAATAATTAGGATATTTAAGAAATATTATTAAACAGGTACTCGCGGGTATGGATATCATCATACCCACCCCCGCCCCGTTTATAAACAGGTAAAAAATTATCTATCCCATTATCCGCGAGTACCCAATTAGCCTATCCATCTATTATTCGTAACGCATTTTACCCGCAGATACCTGCGGGTGCAGATATTTTTGTCATCCCTAATTTCATGTTGTATTGGTAAGTCTCATGTTTTGCCCTTTCCTAATTCTTCCACTAATTATACGGCTCCTCTTGATCTTATTTATACTAATGTTTGGGGCCCCTCAGCTTTACCTTTTAGACTAGGATATAGATATTATGTAAATTTCATTGATGCTTACTCTAAGTTCACATGGTTGTACTTTATGCACAACAAATATGAAGTTTTTACACACTTTAATCATTTCAAAACTCATGTTGAAAATCAACTTCAAATAAAACTTAAGTGTGTTCAAACAAATGGTGGAAAAGAA